TCTGACAACTGAGTAGGCTACTAAGTGACCAATGAGCAGGCAATGAGTATGGACAGCACAGATGTTCTGGGCAAAGGGAAGATGATTCATGTTCCAGGTGGGACCCTGGTAGCATGGTCTGACATTTCATTGTGCTGCTTAGCAAGGTATACATAACTTAAAAACGTGGGAGTTGTTTATCTTTAGGATTTTCCATTTAACATCCCTTGACCACAAATAATTGGAATGTTGGGAAACAAAACTGTGGATAGGGAGACTATTGAGTACCTTAAAAGCTCTCTATACAGTAAGGCTGGCCTGACACTAGGCTTAATACACAAGGCTAGTCTCAAGACTACACTCTGGTCACAGAGCACCTCTTAGCTTGGCTGTGCTTCTTACATTTGTCTTAAAGACTGAGTCTGCCTGCTTCTTCTGAGGAGATACTATGGTGAAAGTGTTTCTGAGCCTCCACTCCTGAGCTGCGACCTTAATCCCTAGAAGTCTATAACCGCCCAAGGTGTTTCTTCAGGCCATCCCTTCCAGCCTCAGTTCTGTGTTTCTGTTACTCTTAGTCCCGATCCCATGGAAGATTTCCCTACTCACCTTTCTTCTATTTCCTTATATGACCGAGTAACCTGAACCAGATGCAGGCTGTTTGCCCTGGACACCAGTCAGCTGTATTACTGAGTCTTACTGCTGGGATTATGCCTGGACTCTGGACCATGCCACCTCAACCAGCCCAGCACCCAGATCCTGCCAGTCACTCTGCTCTAAGAACAAGTGAAACAGCGAGACTATTCAGTATCTATCCATCCACATAGCCCCTGGGACCATGAATTTATATTATGGTCACATAGTATATGAATAATGTGTTCCTTTATTCCCCCTAAAAGTTCCCAAGTAGAACTCAACCCTCATGCGCTAGTATTTCAGGACTGTCTGAGTGCCCTCTGTTTGTATGACCTCCCCTGGGCCTTGGCCAGCCTAGACACACTAGTGTGGAAGTTCAGGAAGACACCTTGGAGATATAGAATTCAGAATCCTCCTCTCAGTCCCTCTAACATGAAAGATATCCCACTCTAGTGGACTATCCTTAGGGCATGACCTCCCACAGTTCTAGGGTCTCATCTGTGGGGGTCCCTCACCCCATTCTCTGCATACATCACCCAGGACTCTATGAGTGATTCATCAGTCCACTGCACTGTGGCTTGATGGAAGAATAAAGTAAGACTGTTGTCGACTTTTGTTATCCTGAAAAAGCATCAACCTGCCAAGTCCGGGTCCCAGAAGCCCCTTGCAAGCAGACAGTGCCTCCTCCCTGACCCAGTTCCCCCGCCTAATCATGAGAGCCCAGCTCTCAACAGAGACGGACAGACAGGCCAGTGATTCTCAGTGTTATTTTCTAGGGCTGAAGCCATGCTTTCCCTGATTGGACCCTTGCTTATTATTTAATTGTTTATCTTGACATGCAGGCTTGTACCAGAGGGGAATACTTAAAAAGTGGCGAGGCATTGGTGGCTACAGAAAGAAATGAATCCTTCAGTATCTCAGACTCTCCTGCCAGGCTCCTCCCAATTATTCTGCAGGCTTCTTTGCCCTCAGGGCAGTTTGCAGCTCCAGGGGACTGAAATTGGCTTAAAAAATTCTTTCCTTTCTGTGCCCCATGTGAGGGGGTATTGTGTGCTCTCTAAATAATAAGCCTGGCTTTGTGGGACCTAATGGACAGGGCCTGCGGAGAGGTTTTCCAGCTCAGAGAAGTCAGTGGCACCCTAGGAAACCAAAAAGTTTCTAGACCAAGGAGAAAAAGTTGGGGTGGTACTATTTGTTTTCTGGAATTTGTGTTATGATCTACTTCTTCTCTAACTAGTGTTTAGGGTAACTAGGTAAAAGTGCAACAGAATACTCCAAGCAATCTAATAAGTAATAGCATTTAATCAGATGTCCCACACCCCACTCATTACCTCCAAAATAACAAATAATCTACAAATCATTGTAGAGCAATTATGGTGTGCTGGCCATTGCCATCGACCGAGCTAATTATTTATTACATGTATTGATTTCCTACCTGGGAGGCAACAATCGCTCGGAGCTCAAGGGCTGAGGATGAAGAAGTCACGGTTCTTGGTTTCTGGCTTACAAGCTACTGGCCAAGATAAAATACCTCCACTGTACCAGGCACAGACTAGGGAATTTACATGTATAAATTACCACATTAAATCCATCAGTAGCCACTCAGGGAAGACAGTCTCTCTTTTTTACAGGCGTGTGAACAGAGCCAAGGAATCACAGTAGACACAAAGATACTTCTTCACTCCAAAGATTCCAATTCTTCATCTCAAATGGCAAAGGGGGCTTCTCAGAGGTGATTAAAGATGGAAGTAGAGAGGTGATCTTGAAAATTTGGGGGGGCAATAGAAACACAGAGATTCTTATGACAGCTATGAAGGAAAGGGGCAGAGATAGGACAATGAGAAGAGATATTGGAGAGACGTGGAAAATCAAAGGCAAGAAACCAATGCTCCCGTGGGGTCTCCAGAACGTCTGGCTCCTCTGGGTCCAGTGTGGACATGTGGCCTCCAGAATTTCAGATAATACATCTGTGTCACTTTAAGCTATTGAATTTGTTGTGTCAGTCACCAAAATCAAATCCAACACATTATTCGCATCTGCCCCCACTGCATTCTGTGGCAAATTCAAGCTGCACAGAGAAGCTTATGTCCAAGTGGTAAATCCAGGCAGGACTGCCACATTGCCACACACATTGACCCTGTACAGTTACAATGTAGAGGTCTTTAATTCCATGCCTCCCCACCCTCCCCTGTAACCTAACATGTTCAATGCATGGGAAATTCGGCTGGTGGAGGGAGATGAATCCCACGTAAGAGTTACCAGAATATTCCAAGGTGACCGGAGGTGCTTTGAGTGGACCAGGTGCAGGTCAGCTTGTGTTCTGCAGCGTAGGATGGGTTGAAGGGGGCAAACAAAAGGTGTTGTCGAGGCGGGTGGCCTGGTATAAGAAATGCTGTCGAGATCAGGAAGCATAACCTCCCTTCTGCCTTCAGCCTATGTTTTCCTGTGGATCCCATTAAGTCTTCTAACCAAGGCCCTGGACAATGTCCTGTGGTCTCCCTTAGCTTGCAGATAGCAAAACGGTCAAGTGAAGTATAAATTTTTGCTTTCCCACCATTACCTAGAATATCAAGTGCATTGTTCTCTGGCAATCAGAAGGTGTTTTCCCACTCTTCAAAGTCTAGAAGCATACTACTTGTGAAAGCAAACGCTTTGATTTAGCATGTCCAAAGGGAGAAAGTTTGTTTTCGAATCCCAGACATCTACACAGCAAGGAAAACCATTGTTAAATACATGGGCAGTGAGTTCCGAGATCGCTTTAAAAGCACCTTTAATTTTTCACTCATTAAATTGTGAAAGAGGCAGCATACAACAAAATGACCCTGGAGCAAAAGGTACAATCCCTGTTGCTGGGATCACTTAAGCAAACACTGTCACATCTTCTGTGAAATAAGAGCTCCATTCCTAAGCAGTCTGACCAGACAAATTGCTGCTGCATAGAAAATATACAGAGACACTTGGTCCTCCAAAGATCCCTTCAAACTTTAAAAATTTCATACACTAAAAAAAAAATCATTTGAGGTCTGGAGATGTAGGTCAGCGGGTAAAGAGCTTGCCATGCAGACATGAGAGACTGAGTTTGAATCCACAGCAGCCATATTATAAGAAGCCAGGCATGGAAGCCCACGTCTGCAGTTCTGGCACTGGGGAAACAGTGATTAGCAGATTCTCAGAACTTATTGGCCAGCCAGAGTAGCCGAATCAACGAGTTCCAGGGTAGGTAAAGAGGACATGTTCTAAAAGAAGAAGGGGGAAGCCAGGCAGTGGTGGCGCACACCTTTAATCCCAGCACTAGGGAAGAAGAGGCAGGCGGATTTCTGTGAGTTCAAGACCAGCTTAGGCTACAGAGTGAGCTCCAGGACAGCCAAAGCTACACAGAGAAACCTTGTCTTGAAAAACCAATAAAATAAAAGAAGGGGGAGGAAGTACAGAGGGAGCAGCAGAACGAGGAGAATAATGAAGATAATTGCCTTTGACTTCTAGCCTCCACACATATGCTCATATAAGTGCATAGACAGTGCCATCCACATACACTCAGGAACATGTTCATGCAAACACACACACACAGAGAGAGAGAGAGAGAGAGAGAGGAGAGAGAGAGAGAGAGAGAGAGAGAGAGAGAGAGAGAGAGAGAGAGAGAGAGAGAGAGACATTGTTTTGGTTTCTGGTGTTGTTTAAACCCAGACCAGACCAGCACAAGGCCCTGCATTAGACTATGCCCAGAAATACTACAAAGAGCACAAGTTTCAACACCTCCATGGGGCCCTGGCCACCACACTCATGACAATTGGTCCCATTGCTTCAGCTCTCTCAGCTGTTGGTCTTAGAAGTCAGAAAGCTGCTGCTTCTAATTTATTCATTTGAAAATGCTGGCCGAACAACATCCCTGTGCTCTACCCTCAGACTCTTAGAAAAGAAGGAAAAGGAAATACAAAAAACCCAGTAATGTCACACACAAAGGTAGGGGGATATGTTGGAGGTTTTATATTTTTCTTTCACGAAAATTCAAATTGGCTGTGGGAGTTATTGACCTCACACTGACCATTGGCAGATTGTGTCTGCTTAAACTCATTTTTGAAATACATGTACAAGGAATGACATTTTCCCCTGGTGTCGATCTGGTCCCAGGAGTCACTTCCTACAGCCACAAGGACTATTCTAAGGAGAAAATGGAGATGGATGGCTGTCAGGTGGGAAATGCTATACCTCTCGTTGGTCTCTTTTTGTGAGGCTCAGTGTGTTTGCTCAGTTCCAATTACCTGTGGCTCTCTTGTCTGCCTGGATTAGTAACTATTCAATTCAACCAAGGCATGGAGCAGCCTCACTGAAATGACTGTTCGCCTCCCAGCAGGATACTTAGATTTTGACTGAGTAATCAAACTCGAAGCAAAATTTCACCAAGGTATTTATTACATCAAGCAACGGTAATGGGAGGTATGTTGTGTTACATAATGTACTGACGCTGACTACAAGAAACAGCCCAACAAACACCTTTCTTAAACATGAAAATCACATTGCCCATCTTCCTTAGCATGTGTGGTTATCAACAGATATTCCCCATCTCATGACAGTGATAGTAGTGACTGTGACAATAAGAAATATATAAATAAATAAGCATGTGTACATGAAATAATAAGGTATGCTTCAAGTTCTAAGTTTTTCTACAAACTCCTTACAGTCAGCTGTTGAACTGTGGGTGGGGACATTCTGTATTTCTTCCAAGGTTTGAAGTTGTCACACAAAGGTGAGCCTGGACAGCACACTGAATCAGAGTCCATAAAGCCTGTAGTAATAATGAATGTCAGTCTCCTCTCACCGTGCTTGGGAACGGACCCACTTGCAGATGTCACGCTGCCTCACACGAGCTTCGTCTCCATCTTCCTTCCTCGGTGGAGCTTCTAGGCATAGTAGACCTAATAGTAATCAATGACAATAGGCTGAACTGTCCTTAACCTACAGACACCATGATCAGAAGCAACGTGGGAAGGAAAGGGTTTATTTCAGCTTATATTTCCACATCATAGCCTACTATCAAAGAAAGTCAAGGCAGGAACTCAGGTAACTGGAGAACCTAGAGGCAGGAGCTGATGCAGAGGCCATGGGGAATATTGTTTAATGGCTTGCTCCTCATGGCTTGCTTGGTTTGATTTCTTGTACCACCCAAGACCACCTGCCCAGGTGGACCTGCACCACCCCCAATGGGCGGGGTCCTCCTGTATCAATCATTAATCAAGAAAATGCCACATGGGCTTGCCCATAGACCAGTCTGATAGAGGCATTTTCTTAACTGAGCTCCTTCTTCCCAAACGACTCTCCATTCTGTCAAGGTGAACTAAAACTGGAGTGTATCCTGTCTCACAGGCCATTCATTGAGATTTTAAAAAGGTATGGCAGGAGCTTGAAACAGCTGGCCACACTGAATCTGTGGTGGTCACATTACATCTGCAGTGGTGACAACACTGCACCTGTAGTCACATTGCATTTATGGTGGTCACATCATTGCATTTGTGATCACATTGAATCTGCGGTGGTCACAATGCACCTGCGGTCACATCGCGCCTGCGGTCACATCGCGCCTGCGGTCACATCGCGCCTGCGGTCACATCGCGCCTGCGGCCAGAAAGCAGAGGAACAAATGTTGGTGATCTACTTGCTTACCTCTTTTGTCCAGTCAGGAGCCCCAGCCCATGGAACACTGCCACCCACTTAACAGTATATCCTTCCACTCGATTAACCCAATCTAAAATCTCTTTTATAGGCCTACCCAGAGTTTTGTCTCATTGGTGGTTCTAGAGCCTGACAGGCTGATGACGGATGTTAACCATAGCGGTGCCTGTGAGGTCACAGAGCAGACAGCGCACTGATCTCTGTTACCTCTTTGCCTTTTCTGCTCGGGTTCCTCCTTTGGTGGAAGGCCTCGAACAGCCTTTGCTTTTCAACCTCCCTGTATCTGTACTCTTACTGTTGACACACCAGTCACAGTCCCAAACAACTCCAACAATGGACACATAAGCCCAGACCCATGGCTCCTTTACTCCAAGAAGATGCAAGGTCTCCTACAAGGTGATGGTGGATTTTTCGCCTGAATGTAAAGGGCTGTCATCACTGTGTTGGACCTCCAGCTCAGGAACAAGCGCCATGGTTTGGTTCTCTGCTTCGTGTCAACCCCAGGACAATTGTCCAGTTAAGGATTGTTCTAGTCTATGCTTAAAAATAAATAAGTAAATAAATGAATAAATAAATAAAGGCCAATCTCTAAGAGAACTGTCACACCCATCTGGTCACAAATACAGCAGCAGCCTGTAGCTTGACTTGTCTACCCAGTCCTAGAATATGAAACTATATTTTCACAAATTTTTCAGATAATTCCTTAAAATTTGAGAAATGTTTGGCTAGGATAAAACTTCTTAGCAATACTAACACATAGGCCCCACTCTGGGCCAATTTCATCGATCTTTCTGGAAGTGAGGCCTGGCGTCTATGTTCCAGAGCCTGACAGCTTGTTCTAGTGTGCAGCCAGAAGGGAGAGCCACTTTTTAACTGAAGCGAAACTCAGAATCAAAGTGGAAAACCCTAGGTACCGCGCATGAAGCCAAGTTCCACTCCACAAGCAGCAATCAGGCATTCTCCTAGTAACAAGGGATTCCTAAAATATTTGCCCTTTTCCAAGCAGAGTCACCATCAGCCTTTTGAATGGCTACGCTTTGTCCATGCCTCATAAAAATACGCTGGGCCTCCACTGCCTGGAGCTCAAGAGCAGTGCTCCCATCCCTTTGTTAACAGAGGTCTAGCCCCGGGCCTGCCCGACATGGGAAATGGCCTCTTTAGAGACAGCTTCTCTTTTTGCTTTCACTGCCCCTGGTATTTGTGATTCTGGACAAGGCATATGCCTTCTTACCATGTCATTTTCCTCATTTGCAGAGAGAAAACACAGTGTCCATTGATTCCTTTGGTTAAGCTGACTGGTGTCCCTGGCTCATGTCCAGTGACTATTTCTCTGCAGCAATCCTCCACTGGGGTTGAGCCAGGAAGGGGATGGCTGCTCACTTTGAGCACAAGCTCCGAGTGCTCTCTGTCCTGTGAGCTCTCCAAGGGCCAGCTTGTTCCACAGATTCTCTTCAATAGTGGCCGGTCCAGCAGAAAGCCTTGGAAGTGGTCTGTGAACAGAAATACTACCAGGCAGGTTGATGCTGCAGCGGAGCCAGACGTTAGGGATATAAGCCAGTTTTCAGGGAACCCTCCTCCAAATGACTAGGATGAGTTCTCTGGAACTCTATAGCAATATTCTTACTACCATCGTGCCTACAGTGGTTGATGATGTCTGTTTTTCTTTTGTCCATCACCAACCATGTCACACATTGCTGCGGTTATTCTTCATGACCTGTGTTTGCCCATTACTATTCCTATCGCTGAGGGTGCAAGTGTTTCACATGCACGTTACTGTTTGATCGTCACCAGCGTTTGGGGAGATAGTTGATTTATTATGCTCATTGCACAGGTGCCAAACCAAGGTTTAAATAATAAGTCATTTGGTCCAGGTTCCACCCAGGGAAAGTGGCAGAGGCTAGACACTATCCAGATCTATAATGTACGTAGCTCCAAACAATGGCCCAACCCCTCATCTCTGGCCTCAGTGCTTAGGGACCCTTATTCTGATTTAGGTCTTCCCTCCTAGCTGTACTTGTTTGGGAACTGGCTATAGTATATGTAAAGATCAAAATTATTCATGATCAATAATGAAAACTGGATAACAAACTTATATTCCATTTTCAAAAAAACAAAGTAAGTTTAATACAAAATATTTTAAAATAAAACACAGGTACTAGGAGAAAATATAGTTTGATAGTTGGAAAACCCTGAAGTAGATAAGGACTTTATAAAATAACATCAAAAGCAGATGCCATGAATTAAAATACTAAGGATCTTGGCTGCACTGAATGCTAAAATGTCAATTTAAACATAAAAGTAATCAGCAGATGGAGACGTAGCACAGGGGTAGGGCACTTGTCCAGCCTGTGCAAACTCCTGGGTTCAGTCCCCAGCATGGGGTGGGTGGGAAATTGACAAGTTGCAAAATGTTGTAAAGTAAGTGAAAAAACTAGACCGAGTACATAGAAACGTACCTACAAAGCAGTAAGAAAAGATGACTATTCCAATTTAAAATAAAGTAGGTAAGACATATATATATATACATGTGTGTGTGTGTGTAAAACTGATGAGGATAGAACTCAAGCAGCAGACTTTTGCATTCTCTGCAGGTGGGAGTGTAAGTTGACATAACCTTTCCAAAGGTTGATTTGATAAAATGTAGTGAAACTTTAAAAAAAAAAAGCAGAACAGTTGACCCAGCCATTTTGAAGAATATATCTTAAGGAAATAATTAAGGACCTGCATGGTGACACAGCAGGGGGATGACCCCGAAATGTTGTGGGTAGAGGTTTTGAAAATTAAAAAGTGTCACCATCTTAAAAACCCAGTAAAAGAATGGCTAAAAATAGCACACTACACCCTGGCAACAGAACTACTGCTTAACCATTAAGGAGGCAGCACATCCATTGAACCGTTATCATTGAAAGGACGCTGGTGTGGAAAGATGTTCACAGAGCGTTGTTCAGAGAAAGGAAAAAAAATAAACAGTTATCCTACAAAATAGCTGTGTCTGTACCACGATGTACAAGGAAAACTCGTCTCTGGGTAATGAGTATGTTTACTTTCTTTTGTGTGTTTGTGCTTTTTTTTTTTCATTAATTCTATGATAAAGATGTACGGGTTTTGTAATAAGAAACAAAATGCAATCAAAGCCGTCAGCATCACAGAGACCCAGTCCTGCTTCCAAGGAGTGGCCTAGCATAGGATGGTGGGGGTTGGTTAGCCATGACCTTGACCTACACCTCAGGAGAAGTACCTCCCAGCAGCTTTCAAACTTGTTTTGTGATGGGCATCCACAGGCTCTAGGAAGATTCAACCTTTCTGGAAGTCAATCAGCCCTTAACTCTTCTCTGTCTCTACTCTATTTACAGAAACCTGGGTATCTACTCTGTACACGGAATCCACACAGGTGCATGCCCTGTAAAGGATACCTAGGAAGTCGGAGGCACAAATAAAGGCAGCCTATGCTGAGGAAGTCCCGTGGAGCAGGAAAAGCCCCCATTCCTCTGGGCCCCGTGGTAGAATCTGCATTCCAGAGATAGGCCCTCTCTCCTTTTAATCTGTTTTTAAAACACCTCCTTGAAGTCTCCCGTCCTGAGGTAAGCTTCATCGGTGGTACATGGTGGTCTCCTTTCTCTGCAAATGTTGACCCATTCACGTCTGCTGCTGCCTCAGGACTCCTCCACCCACCCCATCCCACCCGCCCCAAACACACACCTGGGTCTGGGCCAACGCCTATGAGGCACCAACGCAGGTAACAGAGGTGTCTGCGAGGTAGCAGCACAGGGGTCGGCAGGCTCGGGCAGGGCCTCGCGGATTTGTGTAAACTCCTTTGCAATGAAAGACTCTCAGACAGGGGCCTGGGGCACAGCCCCGCGGCTTCTCAGAGGTCCAGCAGAGACCTGCCCCACCCCCGAGCCCCACCCCAGGGCATCAGGTCTCTTCTAGATCAGACGCACTTCTGGAGGGAGTCCTCGCCCCGCCTGGGGTCCCTGACTCCGGAGGCCCCTGCACTCCTTCCTCCATCCTGCGAGGCTTCTTTTGGCCAGCCTAATGGTCGTCGGATCCCACCGCCTCCCTCCGAGAGGCTGGGGTCCCACGCCGCAGCCCACTGAGCCCTGGCGTTTCGGGGACTGGGGACGGCGGGGCGGGGCCTGAGGCTGTGGCCGGCGGCCTGAGTTTCCACTGCCCACGCCGCAGGCAGGAGGGAGTGCACTGAGCCCGGTGTCGCCGCACGCCGCAGGACCGCCTGGCACTGGATGGGAGGAGGCAGGGGCCCCGCCGCCATTAGGACGGTGCGCAGCGACTCCGGACTCGGGGAACGGAGGAGGAGGTCCCGCGATCAAACCACTGCAGCTGCCGAGCCCTCCGAAGGCCAGGACCCATTCACGAAAAGGGTGTTTTAGAAAGAAAACCGAAATAGTAATAGCAGCAAGAGCGGCGGGGAAGGGGGCGGCGGGGACGGTGTCCGTAAATCAGGCTTTCGCGCAGGGACTCAGATTTTGCAATAAGCACTTAATTAAAAATAAAATATATTGATGCGGTAGGCAAGTCGCGTTCGCGGGAAGGTAAAAATACAGTGGACTGGCTCCCCCCACCCCAGATGCTCCACCTGCCTGCTGTAATTACAGGGCTTCAGAGAGGAGGGAAAAACACGACACAGAGAAATCTGCTTGCATATTTTTTCCTCTATTGTGCTCGGCTCATTTGAATTATAATGTGTTGCAGGCCAGAGTAGAAAATTTTGTGCCTTGAATAATGAATCCCCCTGGAGCCCGCGGTACCTGTACTTCTTTTTAGTGTCCACTGAGAATAACGTGTTCGACATTCAAGTGACAACACAGAAAAGGATTTCAAAGCCCCGGAGCCCCAGCCCGCTGTACACCCCGACGTCTCTTCTGCCTGGCCCCTCTTTGCCTTCCAAATGCTGCAAGCCCTTTCTTTACTTAGATTGGGTTCTTCCCTTGCATCGATCCGGCTGTACCACAGAAATGCGGCCAAGGCAGGAGGGCGCGCAGTTCTAGAGTCCGAACTGGTCCTGCCCCGCATAAAGCTTCGCGCTAGCTGACTATCTAGACGATTCCAAACGAAAACATTGTCGTCCCAAGCCCAGGCAGGCTTTTCCAAGGTCAAAATCCCTCTGCTGTGCTTAAGCAGGCTGTCTATGAAAGGGGATAGCAATCAGTAATTTAATAAAGCAAACGGGGTTGGAGCCACAAGCAGTACCCCAGCCTTTGTATGCTCACTCGATGGTTCCGTGACAGAAGTTTTAAGGGACAAACACTGGGGATGGGGGCAGGGGGGTATGAAAACGTCAGTAAGATGAGAAAATGGAGGCTTTGCAAGTAATTAAAGCAAAGTGGCCTCAAAGCAGAACTTTGCAGCAAGGTTTTGTTTGTTTTGGCTTTTGTTGTTTTGGTTGAGAATTCTCTCTGGTTTGATACAGTCTTTTTAAGAACAAGTCACCTTTAGCTAACAAGATTAAGGTTTAGGCTATACTCTGTGGCAGACCTATTTATCAAAAAACAAAGCTGTACTGATGTGGGAAGATTTCCAGCATATATTAGTAAATAAATGCATGTATGTATTTACAATATATGGGTGCACACATTATATAGTGTGGGAAAATTACCTATACTTTGTTACATGTTATATTTGATATTTTCTTTTATGTTCATATTTATTTGATTATATTCAAATATATGTACTTGTATGCAGCGTCTATGTTTGTATAACCGTGGTACCATCTCTGTATGGGCATTGCCTTTTGGGAGGGGATGGCTGTGGATGCATAGAGTTTCCCTTTTATATAAAACCCCAGTCTCACTTTGTTTTAAAACAATATAAATAATTACATTTGTTGGTTTAAAATATATTAACTATAACTGTTTAAAAACATAATGAGATGGGGTGATAAATATTACAGTTGTCCTCTGTACAACAGCCAGATGAAGACTTGGTGCTGATGAGAGAGGTCAAGTAGTAGTTGCTGCTGGTGTGTGTGTGTGTGTGTGTGTGTGTGTGTGTGTGTGTACTTGCGGCCATCACCACACCTTTTCATCATGACTGTTAAATGCTTCCCAAAGAAAGCTGCTAGGGAGATTTGCCTCTGCTCTAACATGGGCATCAATAGTCAGGGAAATGACTCGGAAATGTGATACAGGGAGGAACAGGAAAAGGAACAAAGACTGGGTTTAAACAGTCTTAACAAAGGGCACCTGACCATACTCATTTACTTTCTGAGTCGGGGCACTTCCTTTGTGACCGAAGACCACTTTGGGACCTGCTAAATCTCTACTCATTAATAGTCTCAGAGCTTTGAGCTCAAAAACAGAGAACTCCAAAGATTGGGAAGGGCAGAGATTCACCACAACTTTTTAGTCTGTCTGAACCATCGAGAACAGTTCTGCAAAGTCTGCTGCAACAGTTCCAGCAGCCAGTGTTAGCTAAATTCTCTGAGATGTTTCATCAAAGAACAGTCACCCCTGCTGCTCCGGAGCTCAGTCCTGCAATCCTGCCTGCCCAGGGTGTTCAGAGAGTGATCCCAAAGATCCCAGAATACTGCAGTCTTGCTGATACCCAGAATACCCAGAGAAGAGGCATAAAGAATCCAGCAGGAGACCATGCTGCCCAAAGACAGAATATAGAAATCTCCATAACAGGTTCCTCCTGCACAAACCAAACGAAATAGCAGCAAACCTCTCCCTACTCCCCACTGCTATGAACAAAGCCAAAACTTTTCTCTACTTAGAGCAGTTTTCTTCACTACCTCAGCCCTCTTGGTTCTTCACACAAGCTGAGCTCTGTAGGGAACTTAGCAGTCATGATAGCCTGGCCTCTGTGCACTAAGTGCCAGCAGTATGCCTTCCAGAGCGGGGACAATCCCATGTTGTCTCAAGACAAGGCCAAAAAGTTCCCTAGGGAAGGGGGTCAAATCATTCCCAGCTAAGAAGTATTTAGTTTAAGACTAAAATCCAAAATTTATGAGAGATGTGATAACTCTTTTCCTATGTTTTGTAAAGTGGTAATATATAAACAATATTTAAAATTTTTTAAAAAATTGGTTTTATATAAATGGGGAGGGGGACTACTTCAAGACAGGGTTTCTCTGTGTAGCATTGGCCGGCCTTGAACTCAGAGCTCTGCCTGCTTCTGCATCCTAAGTGCTAAGATTAAAGGATGTGACTTGATTGCCCAGCTGGCACTCTTTGTTTGTTGTCCATGTTTTGTTTCGTTTTGTTTTTCAAGACAAGGTTTCTCTGTATTGCTTTGGAGCCTGTCCTCTGTAGACCATGCTGGCCTCGGACTCTCAAAGATCCTCCTGCCTCTGCCTCCCGAGTGCTGGGATTAAAGGTGTGCGCCTGGCATAGCATGTCTTTAATCCCAACCTTCAGGAGGTACAGATAGGCAGGTCTCTTTGAGTCTGAGGCCCGTCTGGTCTACAGAGTGAGTTCCAGGATAGCCAGAGCTACATAGTAGGACCCTGTCTCAAAAACAAACAAACCAAAAAAGCCTATGGAGAGAGAAGAGGCGGCACACGGTGATGCGAGTCTGAGATGGTCAACCTGCTGCTGTTCCCTGCTGCTGTTGTTCTAGGATAATGTACTGCCCCTCACCAGTATCCCTATTCCATCCCCTTCCTATGTTTGCTTTGTTGATTTAATTTCTTTTCTTTTTTTTTTAATACTGGGTGTTGTCCTAGAACCTATGCATGCCAGGCAAGTGCTCTACCACTGAGCTATATTCCCAGCACTTGGTTTTTTGAGACAGGGTCTCTTGCAATATAGCACGGGCTGGCCTTGAACTGTGATGCTCCCACTACTGTCTCTTGAGTGCTGTGGTTCTAAGCTTGTATCCCCCGTATCATGCTCTGTCCACACTTTTGGATTTCATCCCTTGTTAAAACCTCCCCCAGTTTCTCTTCACAGTTGCCCTCTATTTCCTCCTGGGGAAAGGAAAGTCTGCAGTGGGGTTTAGGGGTTCCTGGGGACTTTGACCAAACACTAAGCAGGTTGAGGTGCCCTGAACCAGAGTAGGACTTTCCTCTGAACTTCTCTCCCGGAACCAAATCTAGGCTGTGTTTTCCCACATTCATTGGCTACTTATAGCACATGTAGGACTTTCCTCTGAACTTCTCTCCCGGAACTAAATCTAGGATATGTTCTCCCACATTGGCTACTTATAGCACATGTGTCCCCTTTATCACTTGGGCCACAAGAACAAATGGTACCCATCCTTGGAAGAATACTATCTGAAAACAAGGGGAACGTGTTTTCCAAGTTAGCACCTAAATTATTTATGGGCATAAAAATGTCTCCATCTTTGCGCTGACATATTCAAGTTGAAAGGTAAAAATGTCTGCCATGTGGAAGAACAGGGGACCCCTCTATCAGTCCCTGGGTTTTCTGAATCAGGCAAGGCAAGACCTCCTGACCCAGGCCAAGGATCCAGGGCTTAGGAAGGCAGGTGCAGCAGGGATTGCCCAAACAGCCGGCCCAGCTCTGGCAGCAGTGCCTCTATTCTGGGTCAGGACAACAGCCCCGATTGTCCCTCCCACAGTAGCTATGCTGCTCCCAGAGAAAAGAAAGCCAGGAGGCCTCCTGGACCGAGCCTCTGAATGAAGAATGCTGCTCTTTCTCTGCAGCTCTGGAGCCCAGCATCAGGGAATCAACTAACTGCCCCACACTGGCAGCTTCCACAGAGGCCTGGACAGCCTCCCCTGTGGTCACATGGTCTGAGACACTCTGTTCTTTGTGACAGGCGCTTGGCCAGGTGGGCAACAAAGGTCCTTCAGGTGCCCTGGTTCTGAAGAAAGTGATGAAATACTAGTTTTCATCTCTGCTCCCAGCATTTGTATTTCCCCTGGCCTCAGGGCTACCCCATGACCCCAAGCTTAACTGTTATTCACAGTAGAAACAAAGACCACATCTAATTCAGGGCACAGGGGACTCAAAAAACACCTTCAGGGTTTTGCCTCATGTGGCTAACGTCAGAGATGTTGTATAAAAACAAGATTGGAGGTCACATTGCTTTTTGGATAAAATGAATTTTACTTCAAAGAAATTTACATAGTAAACAAAACTAGGGAAATTGCCAGAACATCACAGGGCAGAGGACGAGCCACCGTAAGGTTTCCCAGTGTTTCCTGAACTGACGGCCACATCATTTACACCACTAGGAATCCAGAGACCTGGCCACTCAGTCTGTTGTTGCCCCATTGAAAGAAGGCGGTGGCTCAGTCTAGTGCAATGTGAGCCTAAGCTCTTACCAGCTCTGCCCTCATGAAGAGCTCCGTGCCTCTTGGCATCTACGGGGAACAAGTTAGCTGGGAAAGAAGAGGTTCCAGAGTCCAAATCTGGAGCCAGGCCGCAGGTTTGATTCCCAGCCTCACTGCTCACCTGCTGTGTGACACTGGGCAAGTAATTTCATCTCTGTGCTTCTGCTTCTTCATCTGAGAAATGGATGTAGCTTGGCTCCTGTTTCAGAGAGCTGTCGTGCTGCTCAAATAAAGACCCATGGGGAGTGACATTTAGAGCACATAATGCCCTCAGTGCACCACCAACACTTACTGCCTTTAGTATTCTTTTTAACCTCACAGAAGGTCATTCCAGGGAGCCCTTTCCTTTCATCCATTTGGTCCTCATGAAAGGAGGCTGGCAAATAGGTTCTCACGGGGCAGAACGTGGTGCTCTTCTGCAGCAACTGAAATACCCAGCCCTTTCCTTCGCAGCTAGCATTCTCCTAGCCTAGAAGGCAGAGCTTTAAGGAATGGAGCAGGACGCCATTTCAGGAGAGTTAAATGATGGTGGGTCTCCACAGGCACCATGGGCAAGCTCCTGCCCCGACCCTGATCTGCCTAAGGCACCTCACCACCCATGACATTCTCCATCGAGTACTTAAACCATCCAGCCCTGCCCCTCCCCCAAGACCCAGGTCTGTGTTCCACGTTGTCACCGCAGATGAGTCATCTAGTACCATTTCTTGTCATCCTGAGGCCACAGTTTCAGACACCAAAGTGCTGAGTAGCAACTGAAGCCAAGTAGAAAGTGGGGGAGTGCCCACTCCATGAAGCAGAAGGACAGCCAAAGAGGGCAGGGCACATCTAAAATTCACCAGGCTGATTCAGTCCCTAACAGGCAGGTAGAGAAAATAGTTCCTACCAAATGGCTATAAAGGACACAATATCCCATTAGCGAATTGCTAGGGGGCCAGCTAATCGCCATGTCCCATTTCTTCCTTGCAATGTCCTTACCTCCCCATCTGTAGAATGTGCCAACAGGTCCCCGTGCCCTCTGGCTTCTCACTGGTCTAGACCCACAAGATGTAAGAGGAGGTTTAGACCCACAGGAGGATGGATGAGGGTCACAGTGAAGTGAAGGGTCCTAGCATATCTCTCCCTGGTCCCCAGTTACTACACCATGCTGGGTCCTTTTCCCAAAAAGCAAAAACTGGAAGTAAGGCTCTTGTCAGAAATCTTTTACTCTTGCTTTAGTTTAGTTCCTAATAACTGGGGCCCAGAAGTGAGTGGGCCTCTTCTTGGCACTGATCCTATGATTTCCCCTTAACTCTGCCCATGCCTCCATCAGCAACTTCCAATTCTCCTTACCAACCTCCTGGAGAAAACCATGCCATCTGTTTCTTGAGAGAGGCCAAAGGTTGACTAAGGGCTTTGTCTCTCCTTTTTTCCATTTTCATGTCTGCATTATATGTTCTATAAAGCCA